GTTGGTCTACATGCGGTTCACGTAGCGTTCAGGCGACGTTTATAATCACCTCGCAACAACATAAGCTACCTACTAGGTAAGGTAGGAAACTTCCAGTCGTAGGAACGAATGCTTCTAGAGCAGAGCATGAATGTATCATTCAAGAAGAGCAGCTTATTCGTGGATAGTTGCTCGAGATAGGAAGGTGCTCTTTCCTGAGCGGTGGTAATCCTGAGCTAGGGTGAGCTGTGGCTGCTTTCATGCCGCAGCCCGCCAAAGAAAGCACATCTTTCCCGTCTCGATGCTGCCCAATCCAGCAGACCAGCACGGGGATCAGGCACACACAGCCTCGGCCCCAACATGACTTCTCGCACAGCCCACGTCACCCAAGCAGCTGGTTGGTTCATTTCCCTTCGCCAAATTCTTTTATCTAGCCCCTACTCCCTGCCTGTCCTACCGCGATTTTCTTCTTTTCCTTTCTCACAACGTCCATGCACACTCACACTTGCCTCCAGAAACCACAATGGATCCATTATCGGTGAGCGCGAGCATCATCGCGGTGATCCAATGCGCCGACCGCATTGCCCAACTTTGCCGTTACTACATCGGAGCCGTTGATGACTACCCGAAGGATCTCCGATCGATCCTTATCGAAGCATCATTCTTGAAAGCGCTTCTCGAGAGCCTCAAGTTCCTGATTGACTGCGAAGGCTCTTCGTCCCCAATGCTCAAGACTTTGGGTGGCGAGGAAGGTCCGCTCGCATGGTGCCACAGGACCGTCAGGGAGCTAGAATCGCTCTTTCCAGCAACTCCTCCACAAGTGACACCGAATTCCAACCGAGGAAGGCGCCTTAAGCTGGTTATGGGCCAGCTAGCATGGCCCTTCCGACAAGAAAAAGCCCGCGTGCTCCTCGCCCAAATCCAGCAGCACAAAGGAACAATTAGTCTCGCTATCTCCTCGGAAGCATTGTAAGACTCTTCGTGTAGGTATGGGTCGGGGACTAATGGCCTTGTTAGACGCGATATCAAGGAAATTAGGTTTGACCTCGGTGCGGTCTGCCGCATGCTCAGTGGTAATTCCTCTAGGGCTGACGCTTAGCCGCTGGACTTCACGCTGATGTACATACCCAATTCACAACAGGCTCGGAAACGTCAAACATCTGTACATGGGTTGAACAAACCAACCCCTCCGAAATACTCAACAGGGCAGTTGCCGATTACGAAGAAGGTACAGGCGATTGGATCGTGCGTACCCCGGAATGGAAGATTTGGATGAACCCGAACGACAGCAGGAGGGGCCTCTGGGTTCACGGCATCCCCGGCGCAGGAAAAACGGTTCTGGCTTCTTATGCGATTCGGGAAGTCATTCGCACACTGCGGAGGCCAAACACTGGCAAGTCAATCTGCGCTTACTATTATTGCCAGCACGCACACAACCAGGATGAATCGACGCCAGCTCTGCGGTGGATCGTTAGTCAGCTTTGCCGAGCTGCGAAAAGAGTTCCAGAACCCTTATACGAATCATACCGCTTGCGCCAGCTACCAAGCGCCAAAGGCCTTCTCCAGCATCTGGAGTCCATACTTGGTCACTTCGAACGAGCATTCATCATCATTGACGCTCTCGATGAGAGCCAGTCGCGGGAAAACCTGCTTCGCGTCATTCGAAATATCCTGTGCGATACTCGATTTAGTAAGATTCGGCTCCTCGTCACCAGCCGCGAATATGCGGATATTGAACGCGAAATGCTGAACATTGCAACCCCGCTATCTATGTCGAATGCATTTGTGAGGGAAGATATAAGGAAAGTCATTGCGGTCACCCTCAGGTCGAACTCCATCTTCCAACAATGGCCAGAAGCCTTCCGTGTCGAGGTCGAAGACGCGCTTTCAGCAGGAGCGAAGGGAATGTTTCGCTGGGCTGTTTGCCAATTGGATATCCTTCGCCGTTTGAGGTATCAGAAGATGGCTCGAGAAGCAATCAAGAAGCTGCCACGGACCTTGGACGAGACGTACGAGAGGATCTTCTCGTCCATCGCCCCTGAAGATGTCGACCTGGTACGACACTGCCTGTGGTGGACCATGTTCCATAACACGGTATGGGATTCGATTGTACCACTCCCGTGTAAGATATTGATCGACACATACTACCTGATGACCGGCAAGGAGATGGCAGACGATCAACCGCTTATTGCCGACGTTGAGATCCTGAAAGAGGCCTGCGGCTGCTTACTGTCCTTCACATGCGACAATCATGGTGGCTTCAACGTCAACCTCGCTCACTATACGGTGCGAGAATATCTCGAGTCTAGCCGCTCAGCCACTGGGCAGTCCATCTTTTTCTCCAGGTCTGGCAACTCGGCATATGAGGAAGAAGCTACGGCACTGTTTAACTATTCGCTGTTACTCGAGGCCGAGGTGGACTTGGAAGGAATGAGGACACATATTACCAGCCACAAAAGCGAGGCGAGCGGCATAATCTTCAACACGTCGATTTATCAACTTGTCAGCTGTCTTAGACTCGTTTGGATCGGCAGAATAAAGGTTTGGCCCTCTCTGGTATACAAGTTTCTCGACCCGCGGAGACCTCATTTCCGTCACCTCGTCGATGTAATCAAAGAGATTTGGGTGGATGTTGGAATCTGGACGGAAATGGGGTGCTCGGAGAAGCTGGATTTAACGACCTCCGAAAGAACTCCCGAGGTATTCACGTTGGTTTACTTGCTTTTGCTGAAGCGCTTCGACCTAGTCTCTGAACTACTACGCAGAACCGGATTATCAGCAGCAAGCATGATTTTCTGGGAAGCTACGCATCATCATCTATAAGGAAACCGGGTCGAAGCTAAGTGCCAAAACTTTCTCCGGGAACATTTTTGAGCTTATGGCTATCTATGGTCCTATCATGAAAGAACCAACTCCGGAGACTTTGGGCTTTCTCCTCAACCACGGAACTAAAGACTCTTTTGACCCCACCAAAATCTTGGTCCATTACATCGGAAGACATCAACACCAGATTGACGAAACCTGCGATAAGGACTGTCCATTGCAAAGACTTCTTGATATGGGTGCCGATCCCAATGCGCGAGGCTATCCATGTACGCCTCTTCAGATCGCTGTAATAGGCCGTGATCTACAAGGGATCCAGAAGTTGCTTCAGGCGGGTGCCGACCCCAATGCCACGGGGAGTAATGAAGTTGAGAACTGGGAGGAAGGGACAGTGCTTGACGCGTTCTCTGACTTGCGAGGTGTTAGGCCTGTCGACATACTGAGCACTTTTAAATTACGGGCATTGGTATCTTGTTTATCCGTATATTCGGAGCGATACAAGGTGGGCGAGGATAGCGAGATCATCCACCTGTTAGCGGATGCAACAATTCAGCAAGCTCAGTCTTGAAGTTCAACTTCTAGCCTAGGATAACTCTGCAGAAATGATGGCAAAACATCGTCGTTGACAAGCCGTCCTCTTTCCTCTAAACTCGACTCTGTTACGGAGGCGATATGGGCGATATTGCGATATCACTAGCGATGAGGAAGATAACCTCAGGATTGCAAGCACCCACGTCACGCACAGTGATGGCGGCGTAGTCCCACTACTTGGCTTCCACGGGGAAAGACTTGCGGGAGCTACGGGTAAGCCGAAAAGGCGCTCTCTCGCTGGCAAAGACGTAAACTGACCAAACTTGGCGCGCATCCGGGCCAAGCCGGGGTGGGGCCGCAAAAAGCTTCCGGTGCCGAACACCCGACCCGAGACACGGAGCCGGCATGCCAAGCCCGCGCTTTGAGCACGTGGGTGTTGCCGAGCGGCGCCACCACTTTTTCTCGATTGGCAGAAGAAGGTAAGTACGTACCCAATTGGCAGTCCCGATGCGGTGCGTAGGCGGCTTGCGTCGGCGTCAGAGGGTATAATGGTCAAGATCTGGGATACTGCGACGTGTCACAGTAAGCGCGTCGCGATGCTCGATGAGCATATGTATGTACAGTACATAACCATGCTCCTAACATGCCATCAAACCGGCCCAGCCAATGTCAGGAAGTTCAATTGACTACACAGCACCTTACTCCGTAGAGTATGCGCGTTGAGTCGGAATAATTCAGTGCCGTGCTTACACGAGGATACGCAGCCAAGTACTCTTCCGATTGGTCCGACCCCACTCGGATCGGGACCTCCGAGCGATCGCCGGGTATCGCCGGGCACCGGAGCAGATCGTCGGGCGCCCTGCCGAGCCGAAGTGGGTCCGGCATCCCAACTTATAAGTGTTCCCCGCCCACAACTAGAACAGATCCATTTCCCACTCAGTTTTCTATTCCAATTAAGACGATTTGATGGACAGTCAGCTCCTAATGGAGAACACCAATTCCATCACAGCCCGCTGCCTGTGCAAGGCACACACCTTCACCGCATCCGTCGCAGCATCGAGCCTACCCCTCCCGGCCGAATGCTGCCACTGCGACTCTTGCCGCCACGTAACTGGCTCGCTGTATCTCTCGAGCGTCGAGTGGCCCAACCCGGACGAAGATCTCTCCGGGCTGCATTGCTACCCCTTTTCGTCCAACATACATCAATACTCGTGTCCGACCTGCTCGTCACAACTATTCAGCAAGCTCAAGGGCGGCAACAACGGCGCAAGTGACAAGCTCGAGGTTTTTACTGGTGTACTAGAAAACGCCCCAAACCTCGTAAAGTACACCAAGCACATCTTCGTAGGGGATACCCTCGACGCCGGCGCAACCATCTGGTTCTCCAAGGACGTGTCCTCGGGCGAGCCAATCCCCCGGTGGAGCGGACGGGAGGGTCTGAGCGAGCAGCTCCCGCCGGATTGGCCGGCCCCATCCTCCTCTGGGGCTAAAACACCCGAGGAACCACACCCGGAATTCACTCCGCTGCGGTGCCACTGCGGGGGTGTGAACCTTCTCCTCCGTTCCGCCGTCGACATACCACAAGTCCCTGCGAGAGATACAGACAGTCCCAATCCGAAACTGCCGTGGTACATCGACCCAGAAACCCACCGATACCGCGCTAACACGGACTGCTGCGACTCGTGCCGGCTCACCTTCGGAACCGACCTCGTGCACTGGACGTTTGCGGGGCTGGGTCACATCTCCTTCGTCTCCCCCTTCCCCTCCCCGTCTTCGAACTCTTTTCCGCCCGGCAGCTTTCCCGCGACAATCACCGAGCTGAAAACCGCCGTCCTGGCCAATCCCAATTCCGCTGCGCAAGAAAAAGACACCCACCGTGACCTGGGAATCGGAACACTGGCGCTATTCCAAAGCTCGCCGGATGTAGAGCGGTACTTTTGCCGGCGGTGCGCGGCATCAGTCTTCTTCGCCGTACACGACACCGATAGGATGGATATGGTGGATATTGCGGTTGGATTGCTCCGGCATCCGGACGGGGCGAGGGCCGAGGGGCTGTTGAGCTGGAAGTATGGGAGTGTGGGGTGGATTGAGGATGTAAAGGGTGGGTGGAGGGAGGCGCTGGTCAAGGGTGCTGTGGAGGGGAGTGAGGCGTGGAGGGTTAGGGGTCAAATTGGGACTGGGACTTCAGGGGGGGATGATAAGGAGTGAGGAGTGGAACTGAGATTACGCCGAGACCGAACTGAAGGTACATACTTAGATGTCCTATCTCGTGATTTGGGATGGATAACTGAATGGATTTGCATGCCCGGGAACAGAGTAGGCCACGCCAGTCGTTAGGTCCCATATGACAACAACCTTCACTTTACATCTCCATCTACTCCCCCTGAGCCTGAGCCGCCCGCCACGCCTCCACAAACACTCCCAAATTCAGTACAAACCCCCTCCTCTTCGCCTCCCACCCCAGCACACACCTCGCCCTAGCCGAGTCGGTATTAACCACCAAACTCAGCGCCTCAAGGAACGGATTGCCCCCCGTACCCGCATACACAATCCTCTTCTTCTCCACCCCCAGCACCTTCGCCGCAGCCTGCACTATATCCGGCACCAGCAAGACCTCGCTCGTGACATCAAACACAGGCCACGAACCAAGCAGGCCATGCACCCTATCCACCACGCGCACATACGCCTCCGCCAAATCGTCCACATGCACCGTGCCAATCCTTGCTCCGGCGTCAGCAGGTATCTGCACCTCATTCGCATTGTTGTCCGCATCTTTGCTTGCCGCAAGCAGAGGGCTCCAAAAAGTCCCCCACACCCACGACGCGCGCCCATATATCGCTCCCGGCCTCACAACCGCCACATCCAGCACCTCCCGCGCCGCAAGCACAGCCTGCTCATGCGCCGGCCGCCAGGCGACCGCGGTAGCCGGTTTCGCCGGGGCAAGTGACGTCCCGGGGACAGTCAAATCCCCAACCTTTCTCCCAACCCCCAACCCCGGTGAGCCATGCACCCACGACCCGGATGTGTAAATATACCCCAACTTCGGTCCAACCGCCTGCTCTTTCGCAAGAACCTCCGCACGGTTCCTGGCCGCGGAGATGACGGCATCAAGAATAACACCCGCCTTGTCATAGGCCTGGGTGATGTCAATGACAACATCGATGCGGTGGTCGGCGATTGTTTTGGCCAGCCAAGCCGGGTCAGTGGCGTCGCCGATGACAGGGGTGATTTCGTTGAGGGAGAGGGTTCTGGCTTTGGACTGGGAGGTGGAGCCGGGCCGGACGGTGCCCCACACGGAGTGGTTGCCGGATCGGAGCAGGGCTTGGCTTACGGCCTGGCCGAGGTAGCCGGTTCCGCCGAGGATTAGGATGTTGGGCATTTTGGTAGGTGTGAGTTGACTAGTGGGGTGAAGGGTCTAATGTCCTTGGTTTTTGGCGAAGTGATATCTGTTTTCTTCATGGTGTGAGTCGTTTATGCCTTTTATGAGCCGTGGTTTCTGATGTACTTGAGAATAAGGGCATGCTGCTCTCGGATTTAAAGTCGGAGTTCCGCTTTGTTCTTAAAGATCGACCTTTTCTTCATTTGTCAGCATGAATAGCATAGTCTTGCATCTTCGCTGTGATACAAATCCCATAGGGCTAGGTTAGGACTACAGAGGACTGCATGCAGAGATCTCCTTATGCAGGTGCACCAACGTTTTGGACCCCAATTACCCAATGCATCACCAGATTTATAAGCTGGCAACTTTCATTGGCTGTTTCTCGGCAATAGCTCTGCAGTCTGATGCCAGGGGCTACGCATCCATTGCCGCCCTCGCCGCCCCAGCTGGCTCCTGTCCACACAACCCGATGTTGACGCCAAGATCCGATCAAGCAATTCCTGGAGGGACTGGCATCTCGTAATTCCGATCTTCTGGGAAAGACGTGCGTCACTGCCGATACCTGGACGGACAGTGCCAGAGCGGTGTCTGTTGCATGTACCTGATCTTGTTTTGCCACCTCTCTGTCAATTTGCTAGTGTGCGGAAAGGCTTGTATGGAGATTGAAACCACCGAGATCTCTTAAGATGGGAAGCGTTGTCGAATCAGCTAGAACCTCCCAAGTGATATCTCTGCTAAATGAAAGGTCCCGCGTGGGTGATTACTTGTCCGAGATATCTGACAACCTCTGTCGCATGAGATTGGCAAGGCATATATTATGCCTGGCTGGCTCGGGTCTTGCTCTACATACCTGTCAGAAACCCTTATCTCCCAGAGAATACTTACCAAGTATAGCCGAACATCAAGAAGCCTGGGATGAGATCAAGCATTGACCTCTTCCTTTGCACATCTGGGTATATCCTCCCCGACCTCCCATTCTCTCACCACAGTTCTCAGTTCTAGAATCCCCATCTAAAACGTAATCACCCGCCTTTCAGAGCCTTCAGCTCCACCATCCTCCCTCTCCGTCTTGATCTCCAGCCACAAACCCATATTTTCACGCATGATTTCTATCATGGCATTCGAACCAGTTACATCCAGAAGCTCGTGGATCTCCCGCGCAGCTATCTCAAGCAGCCGCATGTCTTGGACTTTAGCATGTCCTTCCACCGATCCTGCAGCCGCCAGCCAGAATGCATAGCCAACAACCTGGGGAAGGTGGCCCTCGTGTGGGATATAGTTTGGGCCATACGACTGGAGAAGAAGCGGCTCGCAGGCTTTCTTTACCCGTCGCAGGAGCCCCCAGCAATGACGATGCATCTCCAGATAAGGAAACGCGAATTCAAGCGTCTCATCTTGCAGAGCCCAGACCAAGGACTAGAAAAGAGATTCAGGGCTGAGCATGCCTCCCTCCAAAGGTTTAGGTTTTGACTTCTTGCCAGAACCACTTGCCTCCGGGTCGTCAATGGCTATCATGAAGGTTGGAATGTCCTTGGTTGGATCTTCAGCTTGCCACCTTCCACATGAAATGATCTGATAGAGATGCTCTGCGGTCCAGTCAAATTGCGCCGCCGTCTTCCATACGTACCGGTCCGTGAACATTTTCGAGACTGGGGCACCGTCTTTGAACCGGCGAGGGCCTGCGCGGGACACTTGTAGCTTGATGCTCCGGCCGCGTTGTTTCTTGTTCGCGAAAAAAGCTACTGAAACGCCCATCTGGAGGCAGTACCTCACCAAATACTCATTTGCATGCTTTGGAGCGTCCCCGACATGAAAATTCGAGGACCCGAGAGTGCTGTATAAGACATCCATATCATCCCAACGCGTTGGCAAGAGTTTTTCGCGACGTGTTGCATTATACAGGTGCCAGGTGTACGAGATGGAGCCAAATAAATTTGCGGCGGCGATCCCAATGTCGTAGACTAAACCGCGGAACTGGAACAGCATCAAGCCAGCGAGCACGGGTGAATGGCGCAACATCCGATGCCGATTAAGCGTTTCTTCTACTGTCATGTTCTGACGCGCGGCAGCTCTTTGCTTGGCTTTGAAGACAGGATCGTTGCTGAGCCATTGTATTCTGCTGACGCAGCCCTGTAAAGCGCGTTCGTTTGAAGCAGGCCAATTCTCAAACTCGAGACCTTCGTGGAACTCCATCTGCCGTCGCAGAGATGTCTCCATGTAATCCAACTGCTTCATCAACTGCTGGAAGGGATGATCGGCTTCATATCGGAGAACATGATGGATATCAAGAAAGACCTGGGCCGAGAAGACAAGGTGGAAAGATATCTCACGGGTCTTGTCCATCTCCTTGATGCCGCGCATAAGCTCATCTTGAACCGGAAAATCGTCGACGAGACGGCCAACGGTAACAAGCTCGGTGAACATTTCAGTCAAAAGAATCAGGTCGTCCTGGATTTTTTCCTGTCCGGACAGATCGGGACGAAAGCGCTTTGGGTCATAGGTCCCAAATGACCCGTCCTTGTAGACCGGAAGATCAGTGATTAGAACAGGAAGTAGACTCGTGAGCACGTTGTAAGCCACCATGTAGACGTCATCCTGAACATCGTAGGTCTCGGGGCTAGGGCGCCCATTGGCGTCCAAGATGTCATCGAACGAGAATCCTTTCGCCAGACAGCTTGCGAAGTAGAACGTTTGAGCCACGTCCCAAACCGAATGGGGCTGCAAGGCCGGGAGAACGTCGTCGATGAGACTTCTAGCAAGACCAATTGCCGAATTCGTTGCAATGGCGGCTGCCACTAGGTCTACCATTCCAATTTGGTAGGTGGCCCAAATCCAGCGAATCTGGTGTCTGATACGATCGAGGTCGGTGTACATCGTCATGTAAGGGTACATGGCATCCACGATAGAGGTCTGAGCCTCGGCCTCGTAGACAATGTCCTGCTCGGGTTTCTCGGGCGTCGGCGATGCCATGGAAACAAAGAAACTCTCCAAGTCCTCCTCAGACGGTTCGTAAACTGTGAGGGCAGAGAACATATTGCTCAGATTCTCAGGCTCGTCAAGCTGTCGAGACGTGGGTTCGGAGGCACCTGCTGGCATTCTTGGCTTGAGAACATCTCGAACCTTTTTGAGCACGCCAACAAAATACGAGTGTCGCTGGTTTGAGTCATCGTCCTGTTTAAATGCCGTGGCCGGCAATGCGGTCGGCGAAGTCGGATCTTACCGCGATGACCCGGTTGATGACCGAAACGAACGATGAGGGGACCTCGACGGGGGGCTGGCGCGAGGCGATCCATTCAGCCAAGGGAACAAAATCTTTGATGGCAACAGTATACTTGAATTTAGCTGATTTCTTCTCGGGCTTTTGCTGGGTTTTCCGGGCCTTGCCCTTGAGACGCCCTCCCTGGCGTTGCTGCGATGGGATCGCGTTGGTAAGAAGATTGGCGGGGTAACCGTGGGCTCTTGCGGTTGCTGCGAGCCACGATGCTACTGCATCCGTGTCTTCTTTATATTGCCGATAGACGCTCAATAGAGGCGGCGGTAACATCTTGTATCCAAAAGCGAAGAATTGGTGATACTCTGGTGAAGCGAATGGAGTTGCGAACAAGGCGGTGAAACCGTGAGAGAGACGGAAGGTGAAGTCCATTAATGCAGTGCCCCACCATCGCACTTACACTAGATAAAATACAGTAACGTGCGTACTGTATGCGCCTAGGGGTTTTCACTGTACTGTAAATGTACGTAAGGTACCTATGGTACTCTGGTAACCATCATTTGTTTGTTTACTAGCTCAGGGGTCGAAACGGAGGTTCTGGTTGAAAACCGAAGAATAAACTACTTTTGAACCGCTGTAACGGAACTTTTCATTGTAGCAAGGACGCCATCTGGCATTACTTGGAATAGATTGGGAAGAATAGCAATTCCCATGTTGTGATCGAGAGTTTGGGGCTGGCCCCTGACTTACACTACAAAAAATAGGGGCTGCCCACAGCACAACACTTCAGGCCACCTACCACATTCTCATTGCCAAAGCTTACAGACCCAAACAGTGAAGATGGACTGCACCCATTTTCGCGACGCCCATTATCAAGCTCTCCCGATTTAACCAACCTCTCTCCCTCCCCAGCCCCATCCCACAGACAGTATCAGGGGCACGGTCAAGACACGAGCAGAGAGAGAGATTATGACACCACTAGTCATATATACTAGAAGCAGCTAAGCTTAGCGTGATCCATCGCCAATACACCCAATTAGAAGACGCATTGATTCTAACGCGCGGTTAGCACTGACTGTGTCAAAGTTCTTGGGTATAAGTTGTAACCGGGCTATTGGGATTTGACACGGCGCTTGCACACTTGGATGTCTCTAGTATCTAGATGCTTATTCCAACCTCCAGATTCTCGAGCGAAGACAGTCACAGCAGGAAGCACCCCAGAATCGTGGAACAACATGAAGGGATTGTTTGCTTGACGAAACCCTCTAGTATCATCATCACATGCGCCTGTAGTCTTGGGGAGTCAAACACTCAGTTGGACTTGATCATTTCGCTCACCATCCCAATATGACATGTGAAGCGGCCTGAAGGAGGACTCATGGGAGGTTTCCATGCCACCAGACTGGAGTTCAAGTAGATAGTCGAACATCATGATCCTCATCTGCCTCAACATCCCCTTCAGCATCGCCATTGTTAGACCTCGAAGCGAACGAGTAAACCGTCCTAGCCCCAAGTTAATCAAAACTTAGCGGGTACTCGTGGCCCTGGTTTATCCCAGCCTCTCCCAAGCAAAGAGCTCCTAATCATCTCTTGCTAGCATTGCACTTCTTGATTGCAGGGGGCCGAGCAACGATGGCCGTGAGAAACCATCCCTCAGCTCCAGTCTCCCTGCACAGTTCTACGAGGGGTGACTGACCGAGATCTTTGCCTACTTTTCCCGATGTTGCTCGCCTGTAACAGCCCATCGGCTTCACCTTTCGGGTTTGAAACTCACTATCGGTCTTTCCAACCACTCCATCACATACTGAGGCCCTCGGATCTGGATGATATAGCTCATTCCCGTCCGTCCAGCACTCTCACATGTCGTGGATCACAGACTCTATGTCCCGCCCTCTTGGTTCCGTCCTCCTTATAGCAAACATTCTTGCTCAGACCGTTCGTCACATACTAATTTAGGCGTGCTATCCAAGTTCACAGGCAAGATCTCCTGCCACTTTCTTTCTCATCACCGTCATAGCTCAGAGGCTTCAGTCGAAGTATTTATTGCCCTGTTCCCTCCCTCTTCTTCCCATCCATTCTTCATCGTCCCATTCACATCAATTATCTGGTGTGAATTTGCCCAGCTCTCATCTTCCTCTCAACAATAAATTCCATCGCAATCTCAGTCCTCCATTCTATCACTCAAACTTCGGACTAATATCTCTCCAAGTCTTCGCAACGGACAGTTCTGCCATCAAAAAGCCATCCCTCTTCGCTATAAAAAAGACATAAACCATCATGTCTTCCTCTTCTCAGAACTCGACCTGGTACTCCGACGAGGAGATCGACCGGATCTTTGCCGAGGTGTCCGCCGAGGGCGAGGGCGAGACCGCGACCGCGACCACCAGTCCTCCGGGCCCAGAAGAAGCCGCCGCCGCCGAGTCCTTCCCCTCCCAAGAGGAGATTGACGCCGCGTTTGCCGAAATGGCGGCCGAGGAGGAGGAGGCCGATGACGAAACCCACCAGACCATCACACCTGCGGCCTTAGCAGCAGCGCCTGCGCGGTTTGTCCCCGTGGACGAGATGTCTGGCGAGGAAGCAGCAGCACCAACACCAGCAGCGGCAACAACAACAACAAACGCAGTGACCGTGACCTCAGCCGCGGCGAGCGCACACACAAGCGCACGGCCGGGTCCGAGTCCGCGTCCGCGTCCGGGTGCCGAGCCCTCCTCCTCCTCCTCCTCAAACAAGCCCAAGAACAACAACAAGACTACCCGCGGCTCGGACAGCCAGAGCCATAACCAGAAAAAGCGCCCGGGCCGGCCGTCAAAGACGTCTTCGTCTTCAACCCTGCCGCCGCACAAACAGCCAAAGTCCGGGTCCGGGTCCGGGTCCGGGTCCGGGTCCAACTTGAAGACGCCCAAGCACCCCCGCAACCAACAAGCGGCCGCCGAGCTTGCCCTCAAGTACAAGGTCGAAGCGGCCAACAACACGGCGGCCGTCTTCGCGGGCGGCATCGGCGGCCGCAACTGCTTTGAGAACCGTGTTGCGGCATTCCAGCGCGCTAGGGAAAGGGAACTGGAAAGGGAGAGGGAGAGGCAGAGGTTGAACGACGCCCAGGGCGTTGCTTCGGTACATGCTGCTGCCACTGCCACCGGGCAAGGCAGCAAGAACAACAAGAAGCGGCCTGCGCCTGAGGATGATGGGGATGATGATGTTGTTGTTGTTGTTGAGGTTGTTGACGTGGGTCAGGGTGCGGGTGCGGGTGCTCAGGGGTCGGGGTCACCGGCGCCGCCGCCAGCGAAGCGGCCGTGTCATGCTGTTGCCGGGTCTCACGCCGATCCCATCATCATCGCGTGAGCGGGCAGATTTTGGGTTGAGGTGGGCGGCGAGGGGAGAACGGAGGGTATCTTGATGGAGGGGGCGGGACGGCGGACAAATGAACATTCACGAATACTGAGGTGGCGAAGCTCGGAACCTTAATGGGGTGGGGGGGGGTTGGGTTTTGGGATCTTGGGTTCTCACAGCGGCCACAAGTACATACTAGTACATATCTACACTAGAATGGATGTTTATTTTGGCCGCGAAGTTAACGTACCTACTCAAGACTCAAAAGTGCAGTGATCTCTCGGGTCCCTGAACGTACCTAGCCAACCGCTGCTCCGGCCATCATGGTCGTGTTTCGCCTTCTTCGTGGTTACCTTACGTAGGTAGGTAAGGTACCTACCAATGTCCGGGCAATGCTCCGCCGCTGGCTGTCGCAACCTGACTTGGGAAGTACCTAAGGTGAAGATGGGATCAACCTCCGACTTTTCTGTTACCAGAACTTGACATCGTGCAGGGATACCTGCCAGCACCGACCAGGCACAAATAGATGGTGGAACCGATCCTCCTGTTTGGCAACACTTCCGTCAACGTCTGAGTCGGGGGTTGTCCACGCCTGCACTGCTCACAGCCTCACCTCACTGCAGGCTACCACCTGCCTTTTGCTGGAGAGTCTCTGGGACATGTGTTGAAGTCCGTTACGGGCATCAGGTACTAAAAGGACCACCCTTCAACACCCTCCCAGTCATGGGGCCCGGGAAAGGTAAACATCCAAAAGCTAAACGGACTCCTTTATATTGCCCCAAACCTCGAATCCAGTCGTTTAACAGCGAGCGTCCTTCAGGTGGCTCCCTGCTACCCCGGCCCTGGTACTACTAGTAGTACCATATTAGGTGGAGCAGTCCCGTCTGGCGGTGGGCAGCAGGTTACCGTGGTACAATAGTGGCGCTTGTAGAGGGTGCCCTTCTCGATGAGATGCTCCTGGATCAGGGTAGCAGAGCCACCTCCTACGCCCTCTACCGCTGGAGGCCCCAGTGTACCAAGCTAGTGTGGAATGTCTCTGAGAAGTCGGTCCTACAAGCTGCTCGGGACCTCAGAATAGGCCGCAATACCATCAACTGCGGCGGCCCTCCTGCCTCTGCCGGCTCCCGCCCTCGACGGCTCTTCTCATAATAGGCGTAGCGACCCCTTGGGGTACTTAGGTAGGTACTACACTGGCACTTTTAGGACCAATGCACCGATTTCTTTTTTCTATGGATCGCGTTCACAAATCCCAATTGTCCCCATGGGAGGTGATATGAGTGCGGCGGCCACAGCTGGTCTTGATCCTTGTACGAGAGAGTAACATGCCACCCAAGCGGGTCCGGCTGTAAGACACCGGTACCCAGCTCGAGGTCGATGGAGTCTCTGAGCTTCTCTTTCTGTTGGAGCAATGGCCGACGACAACACCACTCGTACATGGTCGGCTGGTAGCACCGGAGCCGGCGCCAGCAGCGGCGTGCCGAGGGATCTCCGGGCCAGCGAAGATAATGGAGGACACACCCGCCATCTGCCCAAGCAAGCTCTAAGCTTGTCCTTGATTCCCTTCATGAGGAAGCGGATTCCCCGGTCAAAGGCCAGGCCTTGTGCACCGCTATCAGGACATGGCTGGGAGACTGTCAGTGGTGATTTAGAATTGCTTCCGAAGGGGGGCCAGCCAGGAACCTGAACCCTACCCACAGTCAAGGAGCCAGCTTCAGTTCCGGCACGAGATGCTGGGTTCATTTGTTTTTAGGTGGCATCCTCACTCTTTCCAGAATGTCAGCATTGTCCCATCCAGTCACGTTTTGCTCGTTATGGGGAGGCATTGTGGAAGACTCCGCTTCAAAAGAGGTGGAGGTTCCTACATTCAGAAATTCTGAGCCGGAGTGTGGTTACGAAGATGACGCCCTTGGCTTGATGATGACACTGGCATGAACATCCTTTAGGGGGTAACTACTAGTAGATATTCGTCCTCGGCCGCGGGATGAACGTAGAGATGATATTGTCTACCTAACGGACAGGCAGTGTACCCTCAAGACAGTTTTCCCCTAAATTGATCTGCTGCCGCTGGTGAAATAGACGGGCCATAGCTTGGGGACGACAAAGCGAACTTCCTCTTGTTGTCATGGCACATTCAGTTTGGAAGTGGGCCACGCTATTTCGAGACTGCTTGAGCAGCGGGGTGATTTTGGTGATGAGGTTTTGGACCTTTTCAGGTGTCTATTTGGGTTACAAAGCTGGAATTCCAGGTTGCTTTAGTCCGGTGTTGGGCCTGCCTGGCTCCAAGCTGTCTTGCATGGGGCTACTCCGCTACGGGGAACGGCTCTTTCATGGATTGATCTCTACAGAACGGTTGCATCGGATGGTCTGCATGGTACTGACGGCATGAAATAGGGGATATAGCTTAGAGCCTAGGCTTTTAGGGGTATACACATTGTCCATAACAGGTATATAGCGTCGCCTGAAAGGTATAATCCTCCAGTAAAATGGAAGGTCTATATCTTGTTCCCTCCAAGGCGTTACCGTCACATATCAACGAAACTCGGTGCCAATCCAGCTTCGACTGCTAGAGCTGGTCAGGACCAGCTGTCCAACTCTGGCCGCCATGGCGCAGAGAGCAAGGGCCAGAACCAGGGAAGTGCGATTCTCGTCAAAGTCGGTGTCCAGACGGAGGAGGACTTGAATGATGAAGAACACGGCATTCCGACCCGGGGATATGGGCGGCTAGCTCGTCCAGAAAGGAGGCGGTAACTCCCAGATTGATGGGGACTCGGAGAGAAACATACGCGAAGAATACATATGAAGATATCCGCACCTGTCATATATAATCACAATTCCCCATCTCCACACCACTCCTGAGTCCCTCGAGTCCGTAGCGCCTGAAATCAGTGCTCTCTGTCAGGAGAGCACGCATTCAGCGCCCAAGTTCCGCGACAATCGGCTCCGTGTGCTGCTCAACGAGCAAAGCATTGTGCGGGAATGCCTCGCACGCGGCGTAAAGCTGCACCACCCTGCTAAGCCGGTATCGGTGGCCACCGATGGTGATAGCAAGGGTGAGCTGGTTGGCGTCCGCATCGAGTCAACTAGTCATCCTCCGCCAGCCGCTCAGCTTCCTCCAACAAAGCCCAAAGCTCCCTCATACCCTGAATGTTCTCATGCTCCTCCCCTCCATAAAGCAGCCACATCTCATCCGCCAGCGCAACGTACTCCCTCGCCCGCTTGAGATCGCCCACCGCCATGTACGCCTTGGCAAACTGCTGATAGTATTCGACGAGCTGCGGCTCGAGCTCTTCCCGCTTTATGATCCCCAGCGCCTCCGGCACGAGCTCGCCGATACGCTGTCTGCTGAGTCCTGCCGCCTGACCAAGGGTCCGATGGATTTCGAGCAGACGTTGTCGGAGGCTGTCCGAGACCTCCCTTTCTGCTGGCGGGGCCGAGCAGAGCGCGCACCGGCAACGAAAGCCCCAGCCCTGGAGCACCGCCTTGCGCTCTTCGTATGTGTATCCGAGAGGGGCATCTGGAGGTTGTAAGCTGAAGCTGCCTAGACTGCGATAGGATGGTTCGTAAAGTGATCAACAATGCGTACAGCTGTGTGCAATCTCTTCGCCGACAGAGATTTCTCGGAGTGCCAGAACCTCCATCGCCATGTTGCTTTCGGCGTACCGCCAAAATGCACTGAGTGGATTGTTAGCCGGTCTGATGCATGAAGATGTGGGCTGCTGTATGTGCATGTACTCACTTAGGTCTGCAGTTGTGATTCACTCTCTGAGTTAAATGAATCTTGTCAGCACAGAAAATGCCCCCTGGTGACGCAAAGTCAAGGAAATGGTGCACTCACTGAGCCATCTATGAGCAGTGCAAGGTGCTGGACACCCTCAATTTCAACTCCAAAGCCGTTTGTGCGCAAGATATCGATCATCGGCTCCCCTCCCGTGCTTCTTGCCAAACCCATGATCGCCTTTTTCTGTTCTGCTGGCAGCTGGTTCAGCCCAGTTTCCATCATGACTCGTCTTTGGCGTGCAGTGTAGCTGTCTCCGTTGATAAAGTCCAATCTGACAACAAAAACGGGGAAGTCAACGGTTACGAGTTCGTGTTTCCTAATTCTCCGTTTTGCCACGACTCCTTTACCGCGCCCCGGGATATTTTTAATCTCGTACGCCTCGTGCGTGCCTCGTTGTTTCTGTCCCCAGCTTAGCAAGCCGCCTCTTAATCTTGGTAGCACACTTGAGTCATCGAGGTAGTCTGCCACGCTGGCCGCAAGGTCAACTGTGGTGATCAGGGTGATCCCCTGGCCCCGAAAGGTGTCAAGGGTGAAGACACAGTCGCCGGGGGTTTGTTCGTCATCATTTCCCTTCGGATCAGGACAAACTGGGCGGTGTGACCAAGGAGCCTTGGACCAATCCGTCGAGAGTGGGCAGATCTCGGTCCCTTGCCAGGCAGAGAGTGGCTCATCGTGTTTGCTGCGTGAGCACATACTCCTGCTGTGCATGTGGGCAAAAGAGGAAGCTGCGAGCGTCTGCCAGAGAGTGAACAAAATCAACCACGGCAATCGGGATCCCATCTTTTGGTCCTAGAGTCGCCGGTCGCTCTTGCCACCGAATGCTGGGTAAGCTACTAATAAGAAGAAAACTCGGCCAGTTCGAGGTCGACTCCATGTCGGGTAAGATGCAACACCAGTTGACATGACTTGAGGTTGGCAACCAGCATATCTGGCCGATCGGATAAACTGAAACAGAATACTATGGTTGGATCGTCGAGTTTACAGGCAGCTGGTCACTCTGTCCTGGTTGCATTTATCCGGTCAAGCGCAAAGCTATGTGGTTGTTG